TCAAGCCAAACATTAATCAAATAGGAACAATTTCACTCAAAGTATACCTAGACACAGGAGAACTATTGTTGTGAAAGTGTTGTACAGTCGATTACAAATTTAGATTGCAGAGAGTTTGTTCTGAGCGGTAAAGGCACTCACGATCGAGCACATTTTGCTTTATTCTAACAACCATAGGCAGTACAAGCCCAACTTTCAATGTTTTCCATCATGATGCGACCATCGCGATTGTTGAACTTTGGAGGATGTGGAGGAAGTGGGTAGGAGTCCCCTTCCATAAGATCTGGGTTTTCATCATAGAATTGACCAATAAAAAGGAGATTTGGAACTGTTCCAAGGGCTGGTGTATGGGTTCTTTGAACCAAAATTAGGAGCTTCCCATATTTGTAGATACGATGAATAGTCATCGCTTTGCAAGCGGTGACTCCGATAGTTGCATTTGCATTGTTGGGATCAGGAGCTCTTCGCATGGATTTGATGTCTTCACGAACTTGAGAAGTGGTTCTGTTGGTGAAGGAATCAACAGAGTCAAGGCCTTCAACATTGATCATGTGTTGCATGAAACGGGTCGAATAAGGAGATCGACTTCGCACCAGTTACGAGATTGAATAGCAGCAGCCATTGTGATGCGATGATGTGTTGACGATTTTTTCTTTATGTGTTGTTTGGTTTCAGAGTCGAATTGTGTCGGACTTGAAGTCAAAAATCACTGGAGAGAATCGCCAGAAGGCGAACGTTGGTGATATCTGGTAACTTCAAATAATTTAGCCCTAAATGTCGAAGCATCTCATATTGAGAGCTGTATATAAACGTGGCACGTATGGTTGCACACACGGCACGTCTGCCGTTTAGCCTTCGCTGGCGAACAATTTAGTTAACGCTGCGATATGATTAGCCTTTGGTGCGCATCCGAACGCCAAAATTGTGGCATGAAAAAATCATGAGATCGATACGACAATGGTGATCCTAACCATGGCTGAATGAGGCGATTTCCTCAAACAGATATTATTCGAAAGCCTTCCCAGGCTCCTGTATCCATTGTGGATTGCTTCGGTCTGATAAACCGTTAAATTGAGTAGCAAGGTACGAGAGATTCGGGACGAAAACGAGTACGATGACAGACATGGGGATTTTACAAGATGTGTGCAAATCTCTAGGTTAAACTATCTAAACGTACGAATGACGGACACTCTCTGGTCCAATTAACGTGATCGTTGGATATTGTGACTACCAATGACGTTAGTTGGCTCTACGAACTGTGGATGATGACTGCTGGCTCGAGGTGTGCCGGCGATTTCCTTGTAGCTCCACTCGGCTGGTTTATCGAATCATCAACGTCCCCCAAAGATTCCGTTCTTGTTCCGAAGGGAATCTGAAATCCTTTCTTTTTTAAGTTTGGAATTTCAGCCACTGCAAAAACGCCTGAACCAATCCAGCCTCCCAAAACCAGATTCAATAATACAAAACATAGGGTCTCCAAAGTTCGTCGGACTATGTGTGGAATCATTGGTCTGCTTCTTGCAGATGAGGAATCTAATGTAAGCATTGGGATAGGAGTACTTTTCATAATTTTGGCTGTGTCCTGAAGCTTTGTTCCGTACCTTCAGGTGAACCAGCTTCTTTTTGATGGATTGACAGTTCTTCAGCATCGTGGGCAGGACGCCGCCGGTATTGTGACTTCTGAGCGGGGCCGCCTTCATCTCAGAAAAGACAATGGTTTGGTGCGAGACGTTTTCCTGCAGCATCATATGATGGAACTACGAGGAAACGTTGGAGTTGGTCACGTTCGATATCCCACTGCTGGCAGCAGCTCCTGTGCAGAGGCACAACCACTGTACACAAATTATCCCCATGGTATCTGCGTTGCGCATAACGGAAACCTTACGAATACTGAAGATCTGTACAGTGAAATGTCCAAGCAGCAGAGGCATGTGAACACTGATTCTGATTCTGAACTTCTGCTGAATTTATTTGCAGAAGGTCTTACGAAGAATGAGCGGGATTGCTCTAATGTGGAGGAAGCGGTCTTTGCCACCTGTAAAGATGTGATGCATCAGGTTAAAGGGGGATATGCCACAGTATATTTCATCAATGGCGTCGGCCTTGTGGGCTTCAGGGATCCACATGGAATTCGTCCTCTTGTATTTGGTTGCCGTTCGAAAGAAAAGGAAGAGTTGTCGACAACATGGACTACAGAAATGATAGCCAGCACGAACCAAAAGCTGGACTTTGTGGTCGCTAGTGAATCAGTGGCGATCGATACGTTAGGCTTTCAACTTGTGCGGTAAGTTCAGATGCTTTTCAGCTGCATTTTTTGGCTTTCTAATCTCTTCTCCTTCGGACAATTGTTGCAGCGACGTGAGACCTGGAGAAGCCATTTTCATTGACATGAACACTGGAAACTGCCGTGTCTGGCAATGTGTCGACAACGCGACCCCAGCTCCCTGTATTTTCGAGTATGTGTACTTTGCCAGGCCCGATTCGATTATGGATGGTGTTTCTGTTTACGAGTCTCGCTTGAAAATGGGCGAATACCTAGCCAAAAAGATCAAACGAGTTTATCCAGAACACGGTATTGATGTAGTCATTCCGATTCCTGACACCTCGAGAACGGCTGCTCTTCAAGCAGCTTACTCTTTGGGATGCCCATATCAGGAGGGTTTCATCAAGAATCGTTATATCGCTCGGACATTCATCATGCCGGGACAGGCTACGCGCAAAAAGTCAGTACGCCTCAAGTTAAACACTATCAAGAGCGAATTTGCTGGGAGGAATGTCTTGCTTGTTGATGACTCAATCGTGAGAGGAACTACGGCTCACGAAATCGTCCAAATGGCACGAGATGCTGGAGCTCGCAAGGTGTACTTTTGTAGTGCTGCTCCTCCGATTAGGTATCCCAATATATACGGAATCGACATTCCGACACGAGAAGAGTTAATCGCATACGAGAGAGGAGAAGATGAGATTGCTGCAAAAATTGGTTGCGACTGGGTAGTCTATCAAGATCTGAAGGACCTGGAAGATTCTGTAAAGGATGTTGCCTCGAGGGAATATCCCTTGACAGGTCCGTTACTTTGTACCGACGAAAGCATCGTTTTTGCCTGCGCTCACATTTGCTTTCAACCATGACTTTCAGTTTTTGACACGAGCTGCTTTAGTGGGGAGTATATCACTGGAGAGCGAATGGGAGATGATTATTTTACGAGACTACACGATCTTCGCAATGACGATGCAAAAATCCTAAGAAACAAAGGGAACGCATCAAATTCAAACCAATCCAAACCAGTCGCAAGCAATGAGGGCTGCGAACCCCTCACAAATAATTCTTCGCTTATGTGATGGAAAGAAACAATAGAAAACCCGTTGACTAAATTCGAAGGCTGTTTTGCCGTAGTGAAGTAGACTGACACATTTGGATGTGTACAATGGGGCATTTTTTTGATTTTTTGAGAGGTCTATGCTAATGCTTCATAGACTTTAACTTAAAAAAACAATATCCTTTAAAGGCACCATAAGTGTGGAAACAATCCATCAAGACAGTCATAAGCGTTAAACGGCAGTGTGACTGACTAAACCTGTATCGATGACAATTTACAATGAAGTAATTCGTCTTAGAGCCATCAGGAAGCTTGGGGGTTGATCAGGTGTTAGGAGGATCGAGTCACAGAGTCATGACGTGGTGGAAGGATGATCGTGTTTGTAGAAAGGTGTGTTGAGTACTCGGCGATGAAGGTTCGGTACTAAGACTTCGGCAGCGTGTTTGGGGGGTAATAAACCAATGGCCATTAAAAGAAGTCACCGAGGACGTCATCAACAGTGTCAGCTGCTTTGGCCCATTGGACCGCAGCATCGTTGTGTGTGGCATTTGGTGCTGTTGGCGCCTGGAATGCTAGATCTGGGCAGAACACAGAGTAGGATGAAACTGTATGCCCTTCGTTTCTTTGGTGATCGTCGAGGTCAACGAACCAACCAAAAGATTCTTTGTATGGTTGTTTCTCGGGAGAAGATCCTTGCTTGATCTGGCTACCTCGAGTTAGACCTGCAGCGCAGGAAGAATCACTAACAGTGGCTGGAAGATTGGGGAATGCTACAACCGCAGCATTTTCGGTGGACAGTTTTGGACATTCTGGTCCAGACACACAATCAAGCTGGTATGCCAGAGAGTCTTGTCGGCCACTTTGGGTCACTGTTGCAAGAGGGTTCCTCTCGATAGAGTTGGCAAGAAAGCGCGGTTGTGTTGGTGATGGTAGGAAAACTTCCCTTGACTCTTCGATGACTGCCTTCGTCGAATGAGAAGTAGCAAGATCTGATAGGTTGTAAGAAGAGCAGTTGCATCTGCTTACACTTGAACTGAGCAAAGTGCGCCGTTTCTTCGTTGGAGATTCAAGATTGGTATTCTGTTCAGCCACAGTAGTTGCTGGTTCGGGGCAGCTACGTTTTGTAGAACCAGAATCGGCCATTTCGGTAATCTTCGCCACATCAGCGAACAAACCAGACAGGAAGTCAGAGTTGTACGAAGAGATCTTGACGTCGTCAAGACTCTTGCGAATGGTGCGCTTCTTCAGAGTAAAGCGGACTCCTGCATGTTGATTCATTCTTCCCGAAATCAATAAGTAACTGACACAGAGCTCGCACCGTTAACTTCCGAAAATCAGAAAGCTTGAACAGTGAAGAAAAGGAAGCAGGACGTAGTAGCTTGAATGTCCTTTTGAATCTACCTTTTCAACAGCTTCTTTGCAATAGATGTAGTTGCAACTTGACCACTGTGCAGACTATGAAGGGTTTTTTTCCTCGTACAAAAAGTACTTCGGAATGCCGTACGATTTGTCCGCAGTCAATCAGTGACGTTGTCATTCGTCTTTTTTTGCCACCTCATTACCCTGTTTTCGAAATATTTTGCCACGTTAAAACGGGTCTTCGAGCTGACAAAAGATGGTATAATCGAGGGAATCATTCATGCTCGGCGCGGCGGCAAAAATTCGGTGCTATTTCGATATTACCTTGCACGTAAAACTATTTTAATTTGGCGGAGCGAGCTGGGACACGCCTCGGATTGTAGTGAAACCAAAGTGTGACGGGAGACAGACAGACTTTTCCTCCCCCCTCAGCACGGAGGCATCGAATTCAAGCTCCACTTTGTTCCATCGAATTCCTCCATCATTTACGGGTACATAGAATTATTTAGGGGGCAAAACATTGTTTTATTTCTCCGAAACAGTGGAGCTATAATTAACGACAAGTCTTTTGTCGTAAATTTTGT